AGTTGCGGACAAATGTTTTTCTCCTTGCCCTTAATCCTCAGCAGGGACTGTCTGGAAATCACCAGGGAATGATCAAAATCTGGAGGAAGGGCAGGAACACCAAACAGAGAACCTTTTGGCTTCAAAGGTTTCTCTTCTGCTTAGACTTTCCAATTTCTATCCAATTCTCACTTGAGATATACACACGACAGAGCTCTGCAGAAATATATGCAAAAACATCACTTTTAACTCTCTTTTTGACAAGCAAGTACAGAAATTCTTTTCATACCTGATGGACCTGAGTCCTGCCCTGAGGATGTGCAGAGCTGGAGAACAAAAGTGGAGGTGGGCTGAGCCCATTGCTGAAGTGCAGCCGGAGTGGAAACTCCTTTATCTGGGAAAGTTTGGGAATGTTCCTGTCTCTGGGATGAGGTTGTTGTGTAAAAGCATGGAAAGAAAGGAATAAAAGCGCCCTGAGTCCACAGTGCTGCAAGGGGTACAGGAGCCAGTGAAACGGGTGCTGGGGAGAGACTTTTCCCAGGCAGTGCAAGGCAGCAAGAGGAGCTGAGGCTGCACAAGCTCAGGGGGAGCAGGACCACCCGTGCTGCACTGGCCCGGGAGCAGGCTGTGTCCCCACCCTGAGCTCACGGTGTGCTGCAGTGGCCGGAGGACACTCAGTCTCCTCCAACCTCAGGAACAAGTCAGCAGTGCTCAGAAACGCACGGAAACCCCACGGTGTAGGAGCCACTAAAGCAGAGCAGTCATTCACAAAGTGATGTGTGTTAAACCTGACACCGCGGTAAAAACCCATTGAAATCACAAAGCCAGGCTTCACCAGAACTCCAGGGCTAGCAGCTCCTGGACAGCTTCGGGAGAAGCAATGGCCAAATCCTCTGGGTGAGCCTGACAGCACTTTATGACAAAGCAGTTTCTCAAGAATAAAAATTCAAAGTCCACTTTTTTTCCAGTCAGCTCAACTAGTTCAGTTTAGACAAAAATATCCAACACTTTGCCATTTTGTAGATACTCTCTTTATTTTTCTCTTAACTTCCTCTCTTGCTGATTATTTAATTAAATTAGCTCATAAGCTGTGACACTTTGTAGTAAATTTGTCCAGTCACTGTCAGCAACACCCAGGATCCCTGTGCTTGCTGAATTCCTACAAACACACCTGCATTCGTGCCTTTTCTGCAGAGATGTCACATGCCAAGCACGAATTTCAGGATAGTTCACACCAAAACGGTTCATCCAGCAGCTAGGCTTTCTCACCCTGGAGTTCTAAATGAATTTTTAAAAATAGCCTCACATTTACCTCTTTCTGTCCTCTGACAGGCCAGCTTAGATGGGGCTTGGAGCAACCTGGTCTAGTGGAAGGTGTCCCTGCCCATGGCAGAGGGGTGGAACTGGATGGGCTGTAAGGTTCCCTCCATGCCAAACCATTCCATGATTCTACGATAGGAACTAACTCAAGATGGACAACTTACAGTCATCATTCTGCAAGTCCACATTAAATCATTAAAATTCACTAAATAAATACAACTTGGTCTTGAAAATCTATTAAGAGTTAACATTTAGGACTGATTATTTCCTGCTCAGAAAGAGCAGAAAGTAAACATTTTTATTTCAATTAGTATTTTTACCATATATTAACAGAGAATGACCAGACATCTGAGAATTCCCTTGTTTATATTTTTCTTTTGGGGAAAATATGATTGTCTAGTTTTAGCATATCAACAAGAAACCACAGGATGCCAAGCTAGGAGGAACAATTGCTTGACATGAGTTGTTCCTGGATGTTTAACAGAAAGTTCCATGTTGCAAGACATTTGGAACAGACTGATGCTTTGCAAACAAAAATATCTTTTATCTCTCAAATTACCTCACATTTACAGCAAAGCCATGCCTAAATCATCAGGACAGGGAACTGTCACCCTGTCGGAACTTGGCTGCACATGAAACCCAATGTTTGCCTTGTTCTGCCTTTCTAGAAACTGCAACTCTGAGAACCAAAGCTCCCTAAAGCTGCATCCCATAGAAAGAGAGGCCAAAAAATCAAAAGGTCCTGTCATAGGGTTTGCTCGACCACTGCCCTGCAGTGCATCAGGCAGAGCAGGCTGCACTGAAGTCTATAATGACTCATCTTCATCTTAACAATGTTGATACCAAATCTTAACTTAAATTCTTCCTAACTTGGTATTGAGGTTAGTTTTTTGCTTTCTCAAATGCTTAGTTCTATTTTCTTGACATTACAGATGAAGTCCCACAGATACCACAGAAAACACCTCAGGAATCAGATGGGAATTCCTGCTCTTAAACAATAACCAAAAATAAGGATTGGGATACTCTGACCAGTCCTAAAGGTGGATGGTGCTGCAGGAAGCAGGGTGAAGGTGTCACAGCAGCACATGGACCTGCAGGGTACGGACAGACTGACCCGGGAGCCTGCACATGCACCTGCATGGAGAACAACTCCTTCCCTTCCCCGGGTG